TGACTGGATTTTGGATTGAGGTGGAAGACAGCACTTCGTAAACTGCATGACCAGTATTCAGTCAAGAGATCTTCTTGTGTCTCTGGAGGGCCAACGTGGTAGGAACTGACAACCTTGTGGGTTACTTCCAGTCCAAGTCTCCATTTATGGCTTCTGTCTCCTTTTGTGAAGATGGGATACAAATGGGACCACCTAAAGCACAACTGTGAGACTCCCTCGTTGGCAGCTTCCCATATATCCTGCTTAAGCCTCAAGAGAATCCCAGGACTTTCCTCCTGGTGTTCAGTTTAGCTCTCTCTTGAGATGGCTCTATGTTGGGAATTTTCAACTTGTTTCTATCATTTCCTCAAAGAAGAGAAGAACAGAGGAAAGGAAACTGAGAAATGGATTTGCCATAAGATTGAAGGAGCTGATGCCCCCCAATCAGAGGACATTTATTGTGAAGCTACTATGTACTATGCACTCTATTTGGTGCTTTCAGATATTTTTCAGGGGATTGTGCCTTTAAATTAAGCAAGTGATTTAATCATTTGTTTTCAATCTATTCTCAACAAGACTCTACAGAGGAGGTATGAAGTGGGAGTCGAATTGTTGACTTGTATTAGACAACTGTTCTAGAATTTACTGAGAAGTCTTTCTTTTATTTGTATCATTTGCTGATCTCTACCAACCTGGCCATAAACCAAGTCTTCATGAATGTGTGGTTCTGGATCTAGACTCTCTATTCTGTTCCATTGGTCTATTTTTCTACCCTTGTGCTAATGCCATGTCATCTTAAATACTACATCTGATGAGGAGTCTTGATATACGATGAGGTAAAATTAAAAAAAAATCAGAGTAAGCTATGATAATAAAAATCCCACAAATTATCAGTGTCTATATATAATAAAGATTGATTTCTTGTGCATGCATCATGTCATCATGGGTAGACTGGAAATTGGGTCATGCCTCATCATCACTCAGAAAGAGGTTCCTGGAGCAGGCACTTTTGAGAACATTGTCCTTAATTACGATGGGGGAAGAAAGAGTCTACCAAAATCATGCACTGGGTCTTAAAATTTTCACCCAGAGGTAACCACTCCTGCTCCTATTTCTTTGTCAAAAGCACATGGTGGCACTAAATTATAAGGGGTCAAGAGGGTACAATCTTGCCAAGAAAGAAAATAAAAATGCTTGGAAATCACATTGATGGCTACTGTGATCTTTTATTTTTACTTTCTTTTTCAGGAATGCTGGCTATTGTTAGTCTCTTGTCATCCGATTACATTTTAAAACCAGGCTGTAAACCAAAAAACCAACCAACAAACCAAGATTAAGAACTCAAACCAAAAAAATCCTATTGTGAATTTTCATTGAGATTGCATTGATTCTATAGATAAATTTGGGGAGAATAGACATGTTTACTATTGAGTCTTCCAAAACTTAAACATGGCATATTTATCCAATTATTTAGTTCTGTCTTAATACACATGAGGGCTTCCCTGGTGGGCCAGACAGTAAAGAATCTGCCTGCAGTGTAGGAGACTGGAGTTCGATCCTTGGATTGGGAAGACTCTCTGGAGAATGACAACCCACTCCAGTATTTTTGCCTGGAGAATTCCATGGACAGAGCCACCTGGTGGGCTGCAGTCCATGGGGTCACGAAGAGTTGGGCATGACTAACACTTTCACTAAAATATATGAATGGAGTTTTACCATTTTCTCCCTAAAAGAAACTTGCACATCTTTTTGTAAAATTTGTTTCTAGATATTTTATATTATTAGATACTAATATAAATAATATAGTTTTGGTTGCATTTTCTAAGTATATGTATGAAAATGCTTCTCATTATATAATTTTTTCTCTAAAACTCCTAAACTTTTAGTTTTGATTTTTTTGTAGGTTCCTTTGAATTTTCTACATAGGCAAGCATATTTATTTATAGATAAAATTTTCCCGCTTTTTCCCATCACTTGACTTTGCCCTTGCTGCCTTTCGACAGTAGCCAGGACATCTAAGATACCATTGACTCCAGATGACTCCAGTAAGCACTCATGTCTTATTTCTTATATTAAAGGAAAGTGTTTGGTAATTGTGATATTTTAACATTTTAACATTTTTTGGTAGGAGTTTTTCATCAGGTAAGGATGTCCTCTTTATCATAAATGGATTTAGGATTTTACATGACTTTTTTCCCTATATCTTCTGTGGTCTGTAGTTTCTCTATAACATGTCATTGCAGATTTCTTGTTTATTCTTTTTAGGATTCTTTGGGTTTCTAGATTCTGTGGACTGGCATATTTATTTCTGGAAAATTTTCATTTATTATTAAGATGATTCTGTCTTCCCCTTTTCTGGAACCCTGATTAAATATAAACTAGACCATATAACACTAGCTTTCATATTTTTTAACCTCATTCATATTTTCCATATCTTTTTCTTTTGATGCTGAATTATCATTAATTTCTTCACTATTTTCTTTAAGTTCATGAATTCTCGTATCTGCAGTTATGCTGGTCCTCTAATTTTAAAATTTCATTTACTATAGTTTACACTTATATAGAATAGAAGTTCTATTTGTTTCAATAGAAATAGAAGTTCTATGTATTTTTTTTTTTTTTTACAATACACTTGGTCACTTTTTATACCCCTTTGCTCTCTCTTCTATTTTCAATCCCTTCTCTTTATCTCCTTAAACATCATAGATATAGATTTGGAAATCAATTTAAACATTCCAATATCAGAGGATATTTTGAATTTTGCTGTTTTCTTTCTTGTACTGCTCTTGCTCAGAATGCTATGATTCCTGTTTTTGTTTTTTTTTTAAACTGGGAGTTAATAGTTATTGTAACTTAATCTGTGGGAATTTCTCTGGACTCTCCACTCAGCCCTTACTTAAAACGGTCATTTTTCTTATGGTTCTCAGAGTTATTTTTACTATATAATTTGGTTTACTTACTTATTTTTGGCTGCGCTGAGCAGTTTTTGCTGCTCGGGCTTCTCTCTACTTGCGACGAGTGGGGGCTACTCTTGGCCGCGGTGTGCAGGCTTCTCGCTGCGGTGGCTTGTCTGGGGGGGGCACAGGCTCCGGGCGCTCGGGACTCAGTAGTTGCCGCGTGTGGACTCAGTAGCTCCTGGGCTCTGGGGCACAGGCTCAGTCGTTGTGCGATGGGCTTAGTTGTGCGGCAAGGCGGATCTTTCTGCATAAGGTATCAAACCTGCATAATCCTTTGGTGGTCTCAGTTTCATTGAGGTTGTCTAGTATCCTTAATATGGCAGGCTATGGAATTTGTTGATAGTCCCCAAGCCACTAAAAGTGAAAACAGAATTTAAGTTCACCATATTCTGCTAATTTCCTCAAAAAGAAAGCTGGTTCAATGTGCTCTGTATCACCTTGGTTCATGCCTTCACTTAATTTTCGGTCTAATGGTCTTTATCTTTTAATCAGTTAATTCATATATTTAAAAAAGTGTTTCTCAGACGTCATCCAGCATTTTGTGTTCAGTGTAAGGGTCAGTCAGTGTACCAGTCTGCTATCATGCCAGGAATGAAAGATCTTTTTAATTATTACCATTAATAAAACTGATACTTTGTTTTTTCCTTCCAAGAATTCAGTTATGTGTATATTAGACCATTTGATAACAAATTACATGTATATTAGGCCATGTACATATTAGATCACACTCTGGGGTGATTCATTCTGGTGTTTGTTTTCCTTCACTTTTCCTTCCCTTCATGCTTTAGTTTGGATAGTTTTTATTGACCTATTGTCAAGGTCGTTGATTCTTTCCTCAGCCTATCCAGTCTGCTGATGAGCCGCAAAAGGAAATTACCCATCTCTGATGTTGTATATTTTATTTTAGTATTTGCATTTGATGCTGTTTTATAGTTTTCATCTTTCTGTTGAAATTCTCTTTCTGTTCATGTATATAGTCCCATTTTCCTACTAGATTTTAACATATTAACCATAGTTATGCTAAAGTTGCTCTCTGATATTTCCAACATCTGGAAATATGATGCTGCTTTGTCTGGTTTTCTTAATTGCTTTAACTCTTGACAATGAGTTAAACTCTTTTCTTGTATTTTGGGGTGTGTAATTTTTTAAATTGAATACTGGACACTGTGTGTGAAAGAATAGTAGAGATTATTCTCAGACTAGATGAGGGTAAGTGTTTTGCTCTGTGAATATTATTTAGCTTCTATGAGCCCCAATATTTTTTTCTTTTTGACCTTGCTGCACAGCATGTGGGATCTTAGTTCCCTGACCAGGGGTTGAACCCCTACACTCTGCAGTGGAAGCACAGAGTCTTCCCCCATTAGCCTCAGTTTTCTTATCAGCAAAATATGAATAAGCCCCAACTTCATAGATATATTATGTGAAATATATAAAACATAAATATAAAATAGTATTATCTTTTGCTCATGGTAGATCTTTAATAAGGAAATTGGATTTTACATACTTGATTTTTTCCTCAAGTGGTGACATTTTTTTCTATTAATTAAAAAACTTCATACCTCATTAAAAATTCTAATAATATCAAAGTGCATAAATTAGAAAGTCAGATGCCTGCATATGTTCAATTAAGACCATACTACAATTGTGTGTTCCTCTACCTTTCAATGAATAACTTAGAACAAAAAATTGGTGTCACTATATTTGATTTAATGTTCATAAATACATGCATAAAAGCCAGAGGTCTTCCAAAGCTTTATCCAGTATTTACTTCTGAAGTAGAAACAATATTTTTAGTAAGTGGTATAAAGAAATTCCCCCACTGGGATCTCTACCATATTTTGATTTTATGTGGGGGTGGGATTTGATGTGATTCTATGTGGGATCATTCTTTACACTAGGAAAACAGAATTTGGAAAGTATCAGGAAAGATAATAGCAGAAAGTATGCAAAGTGTTGCGCTTTGTAAATGATCAATAAAGTTGTTGGGTGAAGAGGGGCTTCCTAAAGCTGCAGACCCAGGATTCCTGGCCAGAAAGGACAAAAGTGCCCTCTCTCTTGTTCTTGCTAAGACCTCGGCAGCATTTCTTCCAAGTCTGCAATGACGTAAGAGACAACGGCCCAAACAGCGGCAGCAAGATTCATCTGCTTTGGATCCATGACGGTCATGGTGTCTCCATGGGAGTGATGGAAGGAGAAATATTTATACAGGTCATCAAGTAGACTGGCTCCTGGGGAGAAAAGAGGAAGAACTCTTAATGAAGTATTTTGACAGACGTTGCTGAATAGCTGTTTAGATACTATTGGCCCTCTTCCTTGCTCTTATTGGACAGGCTGTGACGGCAAAATAATGCCATTCCCAGCCTCCCTTGCAGCAGGAAATGGCCGTATGCCATTGTTCTGACGACTGTGATATGAGTGGCAGGCGTGGGAGAGTTCTAGGAAAGCCTTAATTTGGTTGACAAGAGTCAGGAGATGGTCTCGTGCTGAATTAAAAGAGATGAGAAGACTGGCACTGCAAGGGGCAAAAAGCCTCCGCACTAAAAATGGCGAGGTGGAAACACAGAAAGCGACTGCGTTTAGAAAGGACTGCAAGCCCGTTGAGTAAGCGCTACACTGCCTAATTCTGAACTTCCTGCTATGGGAAGGAAAATAAATTTTATTTGAAAAGCAAGTGATACAAATGTCCCTCTCTTTATAAAAGGACTATATGTGTATTTTTTTTTTTTTTTTTGTATCAGCAGAGTGCAAATTATCTACATCCCTGGATACAAAAGAAAGTCAGTACTCCTTTGCTCGAGATTTTTTTTCTCAAGTCATTCAGTCACTTCCCATGAAATTTCCCAGCAAGTCCCACCAACAGGAGTCTCCACCACCCTTAAGAACTTTCTTCTTAACTCTAGTGAGGTCTTTTTCTAGTTTGGTCATGGATCAAAGTCTCAGGGGATGGTGGCTCAGCTGGTAAAGAATCTGCCTACCATGCGGGACACCTGGGTTTAATCCCTGGGTTGGGAAGATCCCCTCTAGAAGGGAAAGGCTACCCACTCCAGTACTCTGGCCTGGAGAATTCCATGGACTGTATAGTCCATGGGGTCACAAAGAGTCGGACACGGCTGAGCGACTTTCACTTTCTCACTCTAGTGAGGCTTTCATCTAGTTTAGTTATGGATGAGAGCCTCAGGGAATCTTCATACCTCCTAGTCATCCTTCAGAACCTACTGGGCCCACTCTGGGTTCTTTTGCCTCAGGCCTAATTATTTATTTACTTACCATTTTATTAAGATATATACCATACATACATAAGATTTTAGAGAACAAAAATATATATTATAAAGGGTGACAATATAAAAGTTCACATATGCCCATGATTCAGTGCAAGAAAGGCATCACCAGTACCTTTAAAACCCATTTTATGAGCTCCTTCTCACAACCCCATGGATCCTTCCTCTCTCTAGAGGGACCCACTATCCTGTTCTGCTTGTGTGTTAGCCACTCCTTGCTTTTCTTCATAGTTTTTCGAAATAAATATAATCAACACTCTCCCGGCTGTAAATGTAGGGGTGGAATTGTTGAGCTATAGAGCATGCGTATGTTTAATTTCATCATGTATATTCAAAATGTATTGCTTTTTGGTTTATCCTCCCATTGTTAGTATATGAGTTTTCCTCTCGCTTCACATCTTCTTTAGCACTCAGTGTTGTTAAGCTAGTTTTTGCTGATCTAGTGGATGTGAAATATTATCTCATATGATTTTAATTTTTAAAATTATTAATGAGGATATGTTTTCATATATGTATTTTTTGTCATTTCTTTTCCATGAAATGCCTGTTCATGCCCCTTGCCTATTTTCAATTGATTTGCCTTTTCTTATTGATTTGCAGGAGTTCTTGATATATTTTAGAAACTAACCTTTTGTTGGTGGTCAGTTTATATAAATCATTTCCCAGCTTATGACTCTATTCATTCTGTTTAGCATGCATTTAGATGAATAGATGTTCTTACTCAATGCAGTTGAATTTATGCACACTTTCCTTTATGATTTTTACTTTTCTCTGTTGTTTAAGAAATCCTTCCTTACCTTTATATCACAAAAATAGTTCCTAGGGTCCTAGTCTAAAACTTTTAAAGTTTTTCTTTTCATTTTTAAATTCTTCAACCACTTAGAACCAGAACTGATTTTGCTGTAGGGTAGGCTTCTATTTTTATTTTTCAGTGTTCCAGCAAAATTTGACTGGTCCATCCTTTTTCTCTACTCTTTACGTCTGCAGCATCTATAGGGAGTGCTCCTTTTTACTCCTGATACTGGTTATTGAAGTCTTCTCTCTCTTTTTGTTCACTAATCTTGCCAGCAGTTTGTAGGTTCTATTATTCTTAAAAATAAATAAATAAATAGAGAGATAATTTTGGGGGGATAATATTTTCTAATGTGTAGTAGTTTTCCTTCATTGATTTTTACTCATACTTATTTCCCTTCTTATTCTTTGTTTGGGTTGATTCACTTTTTTTTTTTCTTTTTTAAACTTTTTGAGTTGAATGCTCAGTTTATTCCTTTGTACACTTTCCTTCTGGAGGCTCAGTGGTAAAGAACCCGCCTGCCAGTGAAGGAGATGCAGGTTTGATCCCAGGGTCAGGAAGATCCCCTGCAGAAGGAAATGGCAACCCATTTCAGTTGGGAAATTATTAATTGCCTGGAAAATCCCATGGATCGAGGAGCCTGGTAGGCTACAGTCCATGGGGTCACAGAAGAGTTGGACACGACTGAGCGACTAAACAACAACACTTTGCTTACATAAGCAGTAAGGCTACAGTCTTCCCCCTGCTACTGTTTCAGTTCTCTATATCCCATTAGTTGTGATGAGTATTTTCATGATCACTTAGTTCTAAATATTTACTAATTCTTAGTTTGATCTTTTTCTTTGATGCACGAGTTAGTATGTGTTTTTTTTTTTCCATTTATTTTTATTAGTTGGAGGCTAATTACTTTACATCATTGCAGTAGTTTTTGTCATACATTGAAATGAATTAGCCATGGATTTACATGTATTCCCCACCCCGGTCCCCCCTCCCACCTCCTTCTCCACCCGATCCCTCTGGGTCTGTTTTTTTAATTTTCAAAGGTACAGGGTTTCCTTAGTTATTTTTTCATTACTGTCTTCCAATGTAACCGTTAGAGAATGTGGGCTATATGATACAAATTCTTCAAGTTTTGCTGAGATTTTTCTCCCTGGCATATTGGATGATCCATTTTATAAATGTTGCATGTGTCGAAAAGAAAGTGCTTTCAGTGTACTGTGTATGCAAGCATTAAAACAAGTTTGTTAATTGTATTCTTCAAATCTTTTAACGCCTTATTGATTTATTGTCTCAGCAATTTTGAGAGAAATGTGAGAAAATGACCTATGATTTTGGATCTCTTTTTTGTAATTCTAACAATGTTTTTTTTTTTTTTTAAATATATTTGAAGGTTATGCTGTAGGAGCACACAAACTTGGAATCACATCTTTCTGGTATTAATAAATTGAACATCTTTATTAAAATGTGGTCATCCTTGCCATTTGTAGTAATGCTTTTTGTCTTGAAGTCTAGTTTTCCTAGTATTTAATAACAACCTCCTTTCCTTACCTCATTCTCCATGTGTCTTTTCCCATCAATTTATTTGCAGTCTGCCTCTATCCTTATATTTTTAGGGAATTCTCTTATGAATAAAGTTCAATTTTAAAAACTAATCTAACAATCTTTGCGTCTTAACTGGAGGTTATAATTCATTAATATAGATTCTGATTATTGTTAAATTGGACTCATTTATACCATCTCAATTTTTGCTTTCTATTTGTTTATTTGCTTTCTGTTATTTTTTTCCTTTTCTTTCTTGCTCTCCTTGTGTAGATTTTTTTTCCCTCCTATTATTCCTTGGCCACCTCCCCAGCTCTTCTTGTTTGGAAGTCACACACTTTATATCAGTTCTCTCACTGGAGATCTCAAATGATTGATCTCTCAATAGCTGACATATTTATATAAAGTTAATCAATAAAGGACACTAGGATCCTAAGTTTTGTCTCCTGTCCAAGATGCATTCACTTCTCTTTAAAATCCATGCTCTAGGCCAACAAGGATGGGCAAAGATAGATACCCTCAGACAAAGGCTCTGGAATTTTCTTACTTCTTACAAATTCTCACTTCATCATTTTTCACCTCTGAGGAATTCCCTTACTTTGCCTTACTAAGCCATGTATTATAGAAAGACAGTCACTGTTTTACCCAGCAATTATTTTCTGAGGGGGTGGGGGTGGCTTGATGTGTCTAGGAGCTTCTGGTCTACCACGCTGCAGCGTTCTCTTCTCCCATCTCTCTACTTCCTGTCTGCGCAGTGGACAGTCTCATTGTTCCCGGGCCCTCTATAGCCTCAGAATGCTGTCCAGGTTTTCTTTCCACCAACCCAAGTTTTAAAACCTTTGTACCAAGGTTTTCCTGTACTTATCTTCCCAGACTCCTTGCTCTGGAGTAAGATATGAATTTCTCTCTATTCATTCATATTTCACCCTGAGTTCAACTATGGTGCTATCAAATATAACACAAGCCACTGAAGCAAAGTAAATACACAAAAGAAAGCTCAGCTCTCAACTCTGACAATTACAGATTCCAGTACCTGTTGGCAAATATCCAAAACAGTGTGTATTAAGCTGATAACACCTATCGAACCCTTCACCTGTGTTGAGGAGGCTTCTTCCTGTTCAGTGATTTTTTCTTTCTAAACTAGTAAAACATGTTTTCTGTTTCTCAAATAGCTCTGAAAGGGTGAGGTCTCACCATTATCCAGCCTAATGATGTACAACCTTCAGTGGGTGGGCTGGAGCTGAGGTTCATAAGTGTCCAGAAGGTTCTATCCAATTCAACTGGACAAATAATTGAGTACCTACAACATTCTAGCAGTGGGCTAAGATATAAAGGTGAAAAAGACAGCCTCTGCTCTCAAAAGCTTATTCTGTAGTAGAGGCAGCAAAAATGTGCCCACAAGTAATAGTAACACAATCAGAATGTACTGAATGCTGTGGGGAAAGGACAAAAAACAGTGGCTACCTCAAGTAGTTGAATGACCTTTTCTGAGCCCTATGTTAAGTCCCGTTGCTGTGTGTGCTCCATACTTCTTCTATCGGAATCTTCACCATTCTTTCTTACAATTGCCTGTTTCACGTTTGTTTTCTCCACTATATTGTAAGTTCCCTGAAGGCAA